CCGTGTAATCCGTGCATATATCACCCTATCTACGCAGGTCTCAGACTGATCTTCTATTACCTATGATTAGGGATTCCCGAAGGAATCCGAAACGTCAGGACAATAAACCTCTTGTTCGAGTGATCGCTTCTTCTTCTTCCTCTTCCAAACTCTAAACCCTTTCCCCGCTTGAACCGCTGACAAGACAAAGTTGAGATGACCGAGTGGAAATCGGGCGTAGGCCGCTTTCATCAATGCAGGCCAGAACACCGCCTACTTAGTCTTAATTGGCAGTAGTCTTTTGCGCTGCTACTATCACACTAGTTCCCCTCACTCACCACCAGACTCAAGGAAACCAAGGCTGTTACTGTTACTGCTGCTACTGCTATTTATAATACTACCAACTGGGAAGCATAGCTGAATTATGGTATTTCTGGTTTAATCTCTGGTTGTCAGAAGTGACACTGATTAATAGTCATCCCTGGACACATATCCCCGCAATCTCAGCAAGGACTGCAGTGGTACTGGTAGTAACACTGACGCTACCATTTGTCAGAGGAGAAGCTGATTAAAGCCAACGCTGGGGTTCATACCTCCGTGATCTCAGCAAGGAGTGTGAACTTGGATTTGAACTATTCCAAATAAGTACATGTTTGGGGCACTGAGCTCAGCAGAGCTTGCCTTGGTGTCCACCCTCTCAAATCTGGCCATCGGGCTGTCTCTTTCCAGTAGGTTTGGACTACGATACAGCTGCTAGAAGTATTTACCTATTCTAAAGTGCTAATTCTAGTAATTATGTTTACTACAACTACTAAATAATGTATTATAGTACGCCCCGTGTGTGCTTTTTAAGAAGTCGGCACTCAGTATGTACTCCCAACCTGTATGAGGCAAAGTGATTAGCTTATGGCTTAAATAAGTCATTATTAAATAATAGCAAAAGTCCTACCAGGCATTTATGTCGTAAAGTTTACCGTTTATACACTACCTATAGGCCTACTACACTATCTATCTGTAGCTTGGACTTTACAGAACGTCTAGTCATGTCCCTTTGATCCCAGCAGGGACTGTGAAACTGGGTTTATGCTATTCTGAGTAACTACATGCTTGAGGCCCGGACCACATCAGGGCTTGCCTTGATTTATGCCCTCTCACTACTGCCATCCAAACGCTATGTCACATTTTACTAAGTTTGCGCTAGAATACTGCTGCTAGAGGTAATATGCCACTGCTAAGAGCAGCGATCGAGTCTTCTTCTTCTCAAGTGCTAACTCTACTAGTCATACTAAGACCAGCGGATAGTATATTCCAGTAATATATCCCTATGATTGTGTACAAGCATAACAGATGGGAATATGAGGTTACGCGCGTCCTAGACTTCATTCGGGCTGAGTGCTTTAAGTACAAACACGACTTCTACGCTACGCACTTGTCTATCTTGACTATTAAAACATATTCCATCCCTTTGTTACCCCCAAAATAATGTTATCTTTGTGCGCAAATTGTCCTTCAACTGAAAAAGAAAAGTGTTGAATGGACGTTTTTCAGTGCGGGTTTCCTGGTCAGTCGAAGTTGATGATGATATGTCAGTTCCTTAAAGGCTGCCACAAAATGATCTTTGTTGATTTACCTACGTGGTTCATTTTGGGCATTAACCAACGTTGATGCAAGCTGTATTACAAATATACTTTACTTGACGGTGAGTTTTGCTCACGAACTGCCAAAAATATTAGAGGTTCGTTTCTATCGACTGCGCAAAGGCAGACTTACATTTTATAACATCATGCGATAAAAAATAATTTTAGGATAATTTCTAGATAAAATGTGCAAAAAACTTATGAAAATAGAAGTTTGTTAACTCAGGTTTGCCCTTTTAGTTTGCGTTTTTTCAATTGCGGGATGCATGCAGTTCACATATAAGTGGGAGGGCAGTATGAACGTGACTTGAAAGTAAAATATTGCCAGATAAATGATTGGGGAAAAAGTGTTCTCCAGAAAAGTACAGTCATGCGAAGAGAAGTCGTGCGAAGACCAGAGTGGTAGGAAGACGCATGGGAGAATAGTCAGTAGGAAATTTACTGTTAGACGTCCGCACAATCACAAGCTAGCGGATGGCGTCTGAATTGATGTCTGCTCGGCAGTCGTCAGAAGAGAAGTTCTGTGAGTCAGCCTGTGATTAGCTGTTCCAAAAGCCGGAAGCAGCAAGTGTTCAGTAGTGCACTTCGTGCGCTACAGAATTACCGAACTCTTGTTTACTTTTTCATATCTGCCTACTTATTTCGTTTAAGTACG